AGATTCAGATTTTTTGTCTCGCCTTGACGGAGTCAAAAAGCGAGACATAGGTATGCTGTTTCCGGCGTCAGCGGCGACGGCGGCGTCAACAATGTATTAGTTTGTGATTAGGTCTAGTTCATGGTGAACCACTAGTGGTAGGTCAATATACTTGGTATGCAGTTGTATTAGCATTGGCACATCTCATTACCATGGAGATTATTTGGCCCCCGCCCCCTCAGTCAAGGTCTATTGACTTTGAAACTTTGCTTAGTTTACATATATTAGTTTGTGATTAGGTCAGTTTATGGGGAACCACTAGTGGTAGGTCAATGATATTTGGTATGCAGATGTATAAGCATTGGCACATCTCATTACCATGGAGATTATTTTGCCCGCCCTCTCAGTCAAGGTCTATTGACTTTGAAACTTTGCTTAGTTTACATGTATTAGTTTGTGATTAGATCAGTTTTTGGGGAACCACTAGTGGTAGGTCAATGATATTTGGTATGCAGTTGTATAAGCATTGGCACATCTCATTTCCATGGAGATAATTTGGCCCCGCCCCCTCATTCATGGTCTATTGACTTTGAAACTTTTGCTTAGTTTTCATGTATTAGTTTGTGATTAGGTCAGTTAAAGGGGAACTGTTAGTGGTAGGTCAATGATAATTGGTATGCAGTTGTATAAGCATTAGCACATCTCATTTCCATGGAGAATATTTGGTCCTTACCCCTCAGTCATGGTTTATTGACTTTGAAACTTTTGCTTAGTTTACATGTATTAGTTTGTGAATAGGTCAGTTTAAGATGAACCACTAATGTTAAGTCAATGATATTCAGTATGCAAATGTATTGGCATTTGCAAGTTTCATTTCCATGGAGAGTATATAACCCCACCCCCTAATTATGGTTCATTGACTTTTGAAACTTTTACATAGTTTACAAGTTACTGTTTGTGTTTAGGTTTGTTTAAAGGGAACGACTTATGAAAAGTCAATGGTATTTGGTTTGCAGTTGTATTAGCATTGGCACATCTCATTTCCATGGAGATTGTTTAGCCCTGTACCTTCAGTCATCAGGTTCATTGACTTTGAATATTTGCATAACTTACATGTTAAAGTATTGCTATTTTAATTTCAACATTTGCATTATCAAAATAACTAATAGGCGAGACATATCTCTTTGTTAACAGTTTATTTACTTATATAAGTGAAAAAGTCATCCTATCTTCTTTTCTTGAATTCTTAGGACATTCTTTGCTCTAATAGAATTTTAAATTGTCTGTCCTTTGCAGATGTCTTAACTAATCATTCAAGTGTAATTTCATGGACAATGAAAATCTCATTTGTCTGTTATCTTCAGAACACTGCTCATTTACAAGCCCCCAAGGAGCAATTTTTGAAGGCCTTGGTCAAATACTTAGGATCTTTGCACAATCAGTTTCTTTGTTGAATTAATGAGATGAAACATTGAACTCTAATAAAAAATTATGAGCTATAAACCTGGGAAAAATCATTAAAGGCATGTTTTTACATCTCAAAACTTGAGAATTTTTGTGGGATTGTAAAAAAAATTTACTTATACAAGTGAACTTGAGAAAATTAAGTGGAGATTATTCAAACATTATAATTAACTTATATAAGTATATATTTTTTACTTCTTCAAGTAAATAAAGATTACTTGTACAAGAAGTACCCCTGACTGACCAAGGACAATTAGTGGATTATACAATTGAGGTATAATCCTTTCCACAAAATGCAGCACAGGAAGTCAGAAGCAATTATTACCAATGAATTCTCATCAAAGCTTTTGTTGGTACATGTGTATGCAAAATGAATGGAGAAAATGTTATTATACATTTTGTACCTCAATTGGTCTATCTCAGTATACGTCATATGATGGATTATACGTGAATTGAGGTTTAACCCACCAACTAATGGTTATTCCTGACCTGTATAATCAATGTGGTTTTCTGCTTCATAAAACTTAATAAAAAAATTAAAACAGGTTGGGACCAATCACCCAAACAGGTTATAATAACCCATGTGGTGTATTATATCCTAAATAGGATATTGATTTACAATGCAAAAATATTGAAAAGCTAGTGCATTTGTTTTGGTCAATATCCAAGTAAAGATGAAACTTTGGTAAGTGGCTTTTTTAGGAATGTTTAAGTTTCTAGATTGATCCCTCTGAAAAAAAAACAGCACCTTCCAAGGGATCAAACTCATAAACAACCAGATATTCAGAAAAGTTGCTACATGTAACCAAAAGTTGTTGCCTATTACGGTAAATTGTATGTAATCATTTGCACTTTTTTTCCCTTGAATTGAAAACTCCGTCCGTCTGTCTGTCCTTCTGTCAGTCCGGCAAATCAGCTTTCCACACTTTTTTTCTTCGTGCTTGAAAATATTGATTTGATATTTGATATATAGTTTTATCATGACAAGTTACAGATCAAGTTTGAATTTTGTTCCGGTCTGATAATTATGTGCAGAGTTATGGTCCTTGGACTTAGAAAATTCACTCAAATATTCAGTAGGTCAGGCTTGAAGATATTGATTTAATAATTGTTACATTGTTTTATCATGACAAGTTACAGACCAATTTCGAATTTTTTTCAGTCTGATGTTTTTGGGCAGAGTTATGGTCCTTGGACTTAGAAAATTCACTTAAATAATCAGTTTTCCACACTTTTTGTCATCATGCTTGAAGATATTGACTTGATATTTGTTATATAGTTTACACCATGACAAGTTATAGCTCAAGTTAGCATATTGTTCCAGTACAATTAATTTTTAACCGGTAGGGGACTATGTATTGCCATGCAATACTCTCAGAATGCTTGTTGGTATAAATATTGATTTTGTTATCATGCATATGGTTATCGGTAAATTAAAATCAAACTAAATATTTTATTTTTATATACATATGCACATTCATGGCTCTACAATCTGTTGATACCTGTATGATGATCTTGGCATTGCATCAGGTCATGTTTTTCTTGGCTTTGAACTAGCTGTCAGTAACTGTGAGTACTCTTAGATCTGTACTGTGTATTTTTGTTGTGGGGCTGTATAAGTACCCTGCCAAGTCCACTCTGTGAACTTGGTGACCACTGGAAATAGAAAGTTGAACTTGATGACTTCTAAATCTGGAAAGTTGAAACCTTTTGGCTGGACATTCAGTCCTGCAAGTGTAGACATTCAGAATAAAAATAAGGAATTCAGTGAATACTGACTTTGATGTAAAATGGTACTTCTCACTCCATTCTGGTTTGCAACTTTTATAATCTGGTATTAAGTTAAACCAGTTATTTATAGAACACAGAAGTGGACGTCAGCAGGACATTTGATATTGTGCAATCTTTTGGTGCTAGCCTTCCACCTTGCTAACTTGGCAACTCCCCCTTTTTTGGTTGGGCTGAGAATTGCATTGTTAATTGTATTTTCTTATTATTAAAAATTTGGCCCATTACACAGCCTTATGTTTATGTGCCATATATATATATTTTGCCAAACTTGGAATCAAAATAAAAGATAGATCATCATACATACATGTATGACATAGTGTTAAATTTACAATTTCTTATGGTCAGGCAGGGGCATCATTTGTATCTTACAGACAGCGCAACAATTTCGAGTTGTACTTCAACATCACTGTTTTATCAAATCTAAAGTATGTGGAACTATACTTATGCATATGTGGCAGAGCAGAGGGGGGCATCATCCATATCTAGTTTTAGTTTTTAGCAAAAACTGTAATAGATAAGAGAAGAATTGTAAACAGCAAAAGTGTTGAGCAAAATAAGATCTTCAAATATGTCAACTCGACGAAATTGTCAATTGACTGCTTATAAGATTTATTGCCCTTGAAAGAATCTCAAACACATCAATTGTAAACAGTAAAAATTCGTAAGGGTTACGCGGAACCCAGTGTCTCGCCTACTTTTGCTGTTGTCTATGTTTTCAGTGTGATAGGGGAATGCACATAATAGATTTACAGTTAATGAAATAAATAAATAAGAAGCTTCTGTCCAAGTTTGGTAAAAATCCAGGATGGTTTATGAATCTAATAAATGTTTTATAAACTTTAACTGCAGACTGTATATAATGTTAACTGAAGAAAAACTAAGTCCATTTATAAGTAATATACGGAAAAACAGGAAATAAATTTGAAATAAATTTTTACAAAATTTCCTTCTAGATACTAGCTTTTGATCATACACAAGCTTCTGTCCAAGTTTGGTACAAATCCAGGATAGTTTAAGAAAGTTATTAAAATTTTTAAATCTTTAACCACAGAGTGATCATGAATGTAACATTATTAACTGGCAGAAAAACTTAGTTCATTTATAAGTAAAATACGAATAAACAGGATTTTTTATTTACAAAATTTACTTCTGGATACTATCTTATGACATGTATGATCATAAACAAGCTTCTCTCCAAGTTTGGGAGAAATCCAGGATAGTTTAAGAAAGTTATTAAAATTTCAAAAACTTTAACCACAGAGTGTATATTTGTGGACGCTGCCCCCGGCGACGATGGAATTTAGGATCGCTATGTCTTGCTTTTGCAGGCTGGACAAAAATGATAATCAATTCAAGACCTACAAAAATGCCAATGTTTAAGAACTACCAATAAGCAAACATAACTGATTGGAATAAAGGAAAACTAAAAATAACGAATAACAAAATGGCAATTTTTTTACAAGGTGAGTGGTTTAGATTCTTGGGAGCCTCTTGTTTGGAAACCCTGCTTACATTCTCAAAAATTATGTTTTTTCAAAGGACCCATTATCATGATTATAGGAGTTATTGTATAAATACATTGTGTAAGCCAATTTAGAATTGAAATCCAGAAAGAAATATTGTAATAAAGTTAAAAAGATTTCAAGTGATCAAAATTGACCACAAAAGGTACATGTACATCCCAGAATATGAACAATATGATATATACATGATGTAGTAGCTACAAATATATTATAGATTGATATTTTCTTTTGTGACTCTTTCAGGCACTTGCAGCTAATGTTGATAATGATATACCTGCATCAAAATTTGTTCCATCTGTTGCATTTAAATGTGGAAGACCAGCAATGCACAAAACAAGCACAGGATGGCAGAAGGATATTAATACAGACTGTAAAGAGGATAAACTGGATATTCTAAAATACTGTCAGAATGTGAGTAATGTTAATATTTCCACAGTTCAGTTGGAAAAAATGATGTCCTCGATATTCAGATACAAGACAACTATCACTTGGCTGTTGATATGACTTAGTTGTCTCGTGGTTACAAATAACTAACAACTGTTCCTATGCTATAGACACAATATAAAAATAAGGAGATGTGGTATGATTGCCAATGAACTATCCACCAGAGCTCAAATGACGAAGAAAAAAGCAATTATAGGTCATGGTACAGTTTCAACAATGAAAATTGTACATGTATAGTCCTCTATAAAAAGGCCTGACATGAAAAATGTAAAACAATTCAACGAGAAAGCTAACAGCCTAATTTATAAAATACAATTTAAGAGAAACAAAAATGACAGACATGAACATGGGACAGTGGTGTTGCAGCACAGCATAAGAAACAAACAGTTGCAAATGGCTATGCTGTACTCAATAAGTTGGTACGAAACACAAACAAACCAACCATTAAACATAAATACAAAAAACACAAAGAACCGATATAAGAGAACTCGCAGTTACTGAAATCTAGTTCACAGCCAATAACAACTTATAAACATGATAAATAAATACTGTGAAAGTACTTTTATTCGTGGGGTACCAATTTTTCATGGTTTTCGTGGAAGGCTTTATCCACCTATTATAACAACTGTTGTCCAATTTAAGACATAGAAAAAATGCCCATGTAGGTTTGACTACATGGATTCGGGCATATAATCTAGAGAATACATCAAATATCAGCAAACTCACTATGAACTATATATCAACTTTAGACAGGATTTATCCATTTAATCTTGAAAAAAACCTAAACTGTACGACTTTTACTTGCTGATGAAAAATTAATTTTGATCAATGAAAGTCAGACTTCAGGTGATGATATGCGATGATGAAGTGTTCATTTTATCTCCTCATAATTTTCATACGAAAAATTCTACAATTCAATGTACATTTGAATCATTTTTATGCGTCCGCCTTAGCGGAGGGGGCATTAAGTTTTACCCTTGTCCGTCTGTACGTCCATCCGCATACCTGCCAACCTCTGAAACCTTCAGAGAGGGAGATCTCCCCCTCAGCTATGACAGCTGAGGGTGAGATTTTGCACGAACGACATTTTCAAGTTAAATATATGACCTGTTTACTTATTCATCTATAAAACACCAAAAAGAGTTAATAAAATATATATATGCTTTATTTCTTCAATTCATGGTTATTATCTTATTCTATACAAGGTGGGGTTTTATTTAGCCTTTTTTAAATACCTCCGAGATAACATTCCATAATTTGATTTTGTTGTGAGTCTCACACTAAGCATTCTTTCAAACACAGAAAAAATCGAAAAGTTGATCGAACATGATGTGCAAAAAGATTCATTGCCAAGTAAACTTGGTCTGCAAACGGGAGATTTTCTGGAATTTCGTCTTTGCGTGGGAGTCTCCCGCTCAAAACGGGAGGGTTGGCATGTATGCATCTGTACGTCCCAAAATTGGTTTCCGTTCTCTAACTTAAGTTTGCCTCAACCAAATGTTATGAAACTTATACACAATGCTTATTACCACAAAACTCAGATCAAGTTGAATTTGGTTGGCGTCAATTTTACCTTTCTGGAGTTATGCCCCTTAATAACATTATATGAAATCTGGTGCATCATCTGTGTCCCATGGACACATTCTCCATTTATTAGTCCCCTACCGACGAAGTCGAAGGGAACTTTAGGTTTGCACTCCGTCCGTCTGTCTGTCTGTCCGTCTGTCTGTCCTGTCAGTACGGCAAATCAGCTTTCCACACTTTTTTTCTTCGTTCTTGAAGATATTGATTTGATATTTGGTATATAGTTTTATCATGACAAGTTATAGATCAAGTTCAAATTTTGTTCCGGTCTGATGATTTAATCCAGAGTTATGGACCATAACTCTGGACCATATCTAATGTTAGAGTACTATGTTAAACCATATTTCTGTACAAAGGGAGATAACTAATTTTTTAAAAGACATTCTTTGTTCAATTATTTGAAGAATTTTTTGGCAGGTTTGTTAGTTATTTAGTATAAACTAATTTTCTGAATGCTATATATATAAAAAAAAATTATGAAGAGAAATCCTTTAATTAGATAATAATCTAATTTTATTATGTATATATTTAAATACATTACATTGTGTAGATAAAAGTTGTTGACATTTTATAGATAAGTTACAAATCTATATTAGTTTGTGACAAATGAAAGAAAAATATTTGGAACTATTAATTATATTTGATTATAATTTGAAAATAGATATACACTGTATTACATCATATCTAATTTTAGAGAACTATTAATCATATCTTATGTTTTTTTCATCATGCTTATACAATATTGATTGATAATTGGTATATAGTTTTATCATGACAAGTTACAGATCAAGTTCAAATTTGTGTTTCGGTCTAATAATTTTGTGCAGAGTTATGGTCCTTGGACTTGAAAAATTCACTCATATAATCAGTTTTCCACACTGTTTTTAGTCATGCTTGAAGATATTGACATGATATTTACTTTTTGTTTACACCATGGCAAGTTATATAACAAGTTAGCATTTTGTTCCAGTATAATGAATTTTTACCCGGTAGGGGACTATGTATTGCCATGCAATACTCTCAGAATGCTTGTTTACATTTATTATGAATCTATAAGGTGTTATTATACCCCACGCAACGAGTTGCGGAGGGTATAATGTTTTTGACCCGTCCGTCCGTCATTCCGTCAGTCCGTCAGTCGTCAGTCCTGTTTCTTGTCATCGCAACTCCTCTCAAACCACACAACAGAATTTCACGAAACCTTTTTAGATAATAAGGACATACTATGTAGTTGTGCATATCGACAGGAAATTACGATTCAATTCTTTTTCTAGGAGTTACACCCCTTTGAACTTATTTGCCCAATATACTACTGCAACCTTTTGTCATCGTAACTCCTCTCAAACCACACAACAGAATTTCATGAAACCTTTTCAGATGATAAGGACATACTACGTAGATGTGCATATCGACAGGAAATTAAGATTCAATTGTTTTTCCAGGAGTTACGCTCCTTTGAACTTATTTGCCCAATATACTACTGCAACATTTTGTCATCGCAACTCCTCTCAAACCACACAACAGAATTTCATGAAACCTTTTCAGATAATAAGGACATACTACGTTGATGTGCATATCGACAGGAAATTACGATTCAATTTTTATACGACCGCAAAAATTAAAAATTTTTTGGTCGTATATTGGTATGACGTTGGCGTCGTCGTCGTCGTCGTCGTCGTCGTCGTCCGGCGTCGTCGTCGTCGTCGTCCGGCGTTGTCCAAAGACACATTGGTTTTCGCACTCTAACTTTAGTTTAAGTGAATGGATCTCCATGAAATTTCGCCATAAGGTTCAATACCACGAAAGGAAGGTTGGGATTGATTTTGGGGGTTATGGTACCAACAGTTAAGGAATTGGGGGCCAAAAAGGGGCCAAAAATAAGCATTTTTGTAACTTTCAGACAATAACTTGTGTGTAAGTGTATGGATCTCTCTGACATTGTACCACAAGGTTCCATATCACAAAGGAAAGGCTGTAATTGATTTTGGGGGTAATTGCCTCAAAATTTTAGGAATTAGGGGCCAAAAAAGGGGCAAAAAACAAGCATTTTTCTAGTTTCATGACAATAACTTGTGTGTAAGTGTTTGGATATTTCTGAAATTGTACTACAATGTTCCATATCACAAAGGGAAAGCTGGAATTGAGTTTGGGGGTAATTGCCCGAAACGTTTAGGAATTGGGGGACAAAAAGGGGCCAAAAATAAGCATTTTTCTAGTTTCCAGACAATAACTTGTGTTCAAGTGTATGGATCTCTCTGAAATTGTACTGCAAGGTACCATGTCACAAAGGGAAGGCTGGGATTGAGTTTGGGGGTGATGAATCATAAGGGGGTTCAAAAAATTGGGGGGGGGGATTTTTTTTTTTTTTTTTTTCTTTTAAAATTTTCCATTTTTAGTTGGTTATTTCTGATTTATATTTAAAAGCAAATAATAATGATATGGTAGGAGATACACACCAAACAGGATGTGTAAATTATTATATAATAAGTATTGTGCAATAGCAAGAAATTTTCAATTGCACAGTATTGCACAATAGCAAGAAATCTTCAATTGCACAGTATTGCGCAATAGCAAGAAATCTTCAATTTAACAGTATTGCGCAATAGCAAGAAATATCCAATAGCACAATATTGCGCAATAGCAAGAAATTGTCAATTGTACAGTATTGCGCAATAGCAAGAAATATTCAATTGCACAGTATTGTGCAAAAGAAGATACTTTGTATAAATTGCTTATTTCTTGATCAATTTCAATGGGGTTTTATTCTTGAATTCTTGGGGTTCTTTAATATGCTGAATCTAACCGTGTATTAAGTTTTTGGATTTTGGGCCCCGTTTTTAAATTGGTCCACATTGAGGTCCAAAGGGTCCAAAATTTAACTTTGTTTGATTTCATCAAAAATTGAATTATTGGGGTTCTTTGATATGCCGAATCTAACCGTGTATTTAGATTTTTAATTTTGGGTCCCGTTTTTTAAATTGGTCTACATTAAGGTCCAAAGGGTCCAAAATTAAACTTAGTTTGATTTTAACAAAAATTGAATTCTTAGGGTTCTTTGATATGCTGAATCTAAACATGTGTTTAGATTTTTGATTATGGGCCCAGTTTTCAAGTTGGTCCAAGTTGGGGTCCAAAATTAAACTTTGTTTGATTTCAACGAAAATTGAATATATGGGGTTCTTTGATATGCTGAATCTAAACATGTATTTAGATTTTAGATTTTTGGCCCAGTTTTCAAGTTGGTCCAAATTGGGGTCCAAAATTAAACTTTGTTTGATTTCAACAAAAATTGAATATATGGGGTTCTTTGATATGCTGAATCTTACCATGTATTTAGATTTTTTATTTGTGGGCCCGCTATCAAATTGGTTCATATTGAGGTCAAAAGGGTCCAAAATTAAACTTTGTTTGATTTCATCAAAAATTGAATTATTGGGGTTCTTTGATATGCCAAATCTAACCGTGTTTTTAGATTTTTAATTTTGGGTCCCGTTTTTTAAATTTGTCTACATTAAGGTCCAAAGGGTCCAAAATTAAACTTAGTTTGATTTTAACAAAAATTGAATTCTTCGGGTACTTTGATATGCTGAATCTAAACATGTGTTTAGATTTTTGATTATGGGACCAGTTTTCAAGTTTGTCCAAGTTGGGGTCCAAAATTAAACTTTGTTTGATTTCAACAAAAATTGAATATATGGGGTTCTTTGATATGCTGAATCTAACCATGTATTTTGATTTTGGACATTGGACCATAATAGGTAAATTAAAAAAATTGAAGTTCTTAGACCACATTCTTTCTGTGTCAGAAACCTATGCTGTGTCAAATATTTAATCACAATCCAAATTCAGAGCTGTATCAAGCTTGAATGTTGTGTCCATACTTGCCCCAACTGTTCAGGGTTCGACCTCTGCGGTCGTATCAAGCTGCGCCCAGCGAAGCATTTTATTTCCAGAAGTTACGCCCCTTTGAACTTATTTGCCCAATATACTACTGCAACCTTTTGTCATCACAACTCCTCTCAAACCACACAACAGAATTTCATGAAACTGTGTAGATAATAAGGACATACTATGTAGATGTGCATATGGACAGGAAATTATGATTCAATTTTTTTTTCTGATACAATTTTTTTTTCTTACACTTATTTTATTTCTCCAATGACAATGTGGGGACGTGGGGTATGTGAGCGCGCTCACTAAGGTTCTTTAATCTACAAATAATATTGCATTCAGTGATTGTTGATAGCAAGATAATTAACTTGAGAGTTAGTTGCCAAAGTTTACTGGATCTTGACATTGATAAACAATCAACCCAAAGCATGTGAAGAACGTGAAAAATAAATGAATTGATAGAGCCATGATATAATTTTTTCAACTTCCATGGGTTCCAATTTGTTAATTAAACTTTTCCTTTTACAGTTGTTAAATGATTTGGTGTATTTAATTTGTTAAATTTATATATCTTTTGAATGAGAAAAAATGATATCATCAACAGAATAGTTTTCCTCATTGGATTTTAATAAATAACTAATAATTTCTTTTTTTTTTTGATAAAAATTTTTTCTTTAAATAGGACTAGACATTTAGTTAGTAGTTTTTGACAAGTGGAAAAAAATATAATTGTGTAACTATAAATGAAATTTTAAAATATAAACTGTAATAGTATTCTCAGGTTTAATTTGAACTATATAAAAAAGAATTAAATAAATAGGATACATATGGCCATAAATATTATTGTAAAAGCCAAACAATTTATAGCAACCCAAACGTGCAAGCTCTTCTCTTTAAAGTCTCTCCACTTTTCCCTATCCGTTTCAAAAAGAGAAGGTACAAAGTGGTAAGACAAATAAATCTCACGGACCAAAAGTTAGATTTGGACCAAAGACACGTCAGTCTGTCTTTGGGTCTGAAACAAAGGAAACATTGTATAGATGGAACACATAGAAAAGGGGAATAATACTATATTAATTATTAAGTCTTATGGTCAAAGATCAAGGTCGCAGCTGGTAAAAAAAACTGAAAATGTAGAAATATTACTTGCAGTTTGTTATTTCTGGGTCAGATTTCTTGAGGTGCACTTGTTGGAATTTAATTAACTAATTCAAGTGGTTGATAGGAGGAAAAAGAGGGACCCTATCATTTTAAGGGTCAGTTGGTCAATAGTCAAAAGGTCACAGATGCTAAGGAACATGAGGAAAGCTAGCAGGTAAGTCAACCATTCTTCTGGCTAAAAAAAAACCCAAGGGCCCAGAAGGAATTTTCTGTATATCAAGACTGTATATATATCAAATGCTGAAGGAAGCATTTACAAGGTGACAGCTATATATCATTTATATAAAGATTGAATAGTGATAGTGAATCAGAATTTTAAGATGAGATCTCTTAAAATATCTTAAAATAAAGAATTTTATTATTATTTGGCATGTACCCCTACTCCCATCCCCTACTGTAAATGTTAATTGTATTTTTAATTTTTGCAGGTGTACAAAAATTTTTCTATAACTAACATTGTTGAAGATCATGAAGTTACAATTAATTGGCCAGGCAAATTTGGGAAAACTGAGGCAATAGCAGTTACACCCTACAGATGTATAGGTAAGATATTTATCTCCTCAAATCAAAACAATCTACAAGAATAAAATCATGACAGCACATTTTTGGAAAGAAGAAGAATGTTATATCCCATCTCAAAGAGAGAGGAATATATTGTAATCACCTTCTTTGTCCATCCATTTTGTCCAACAAACATTTGCTATAATGCTATCATGTCGTCGTCCGAAGACACGTTTGGTTTCCTGACAATAACTTTAGTTTAAGTGAATGGATCTCTATGAAATTTTACCAGAAGGTTTAATACCACAAAAGGAAGGTTGGGATAGATTTTGGGGGTTATGGTACCAACAGTTTAGGAATGAGTGGCCGAAAAGGGGCCAAAAACAAGCATTTTTGTAATTTCCGGACAATAACTTGTGTGTAAGTGTAAAGATCTCAGTTGGACGGCAAATGATTTAATGGCTTCTAAGGTCAAGACATTGGTCATGTGACAAAAGGTCAGAGTTTACGTTTTTTTGGTAAACGTGCATTCCTCTTGGTTTTTTTACTCGTATCGTCTTATTTTTATACGACCGCAAAATTTAATTTTGCGGTCGTATATTGGTATGACGTTGGCGTCGTCATCGTCGTCCGAAGACACATTGGTTTTCGCACTCTAACTTTAGTTTAAGTGAATGGATCTCTATGAAATTTTACCATAAGGTTCAATACCACAAAAGGCAGTTTGGGATTGATTTTGGGGGTTATGGTACCAACAGTTAAGAAATTAGGGGCCAAAAATAAGCATTTTTGTAACTTCCAGACATAACTTGTGTGTTAGTGTATGGATCTCTCTGACATTGTACCACAAGGTTCCATATCACAAAGGGAATGCTGGGATTTATTTTGGGGGTAATTGCCTCAAAATTTTAGGATTAGGGGGCAAAAAAGGGGCAAAAAACAAGCATTTTTCTAGTTTCATGACAATAACTTGTGTGTCAGTGTATGGATCTTTCTGAAATTGTACTACAAGGTTCCATATCACAAAGGGAAAGCTGGAATTGAGTTTGGGGGTAATTGCCCAAAACGTTTAGGAATAAGGGGCCAAGAAGGGGCCAAAAATAAGCATTTTTCAAGTTTCCAGACAATAACTTGTGTTCAAGTGTATGTATCCCTCTGAAATTGAACTGCAAGGTACCATATTACAAAGGGAAGGCTGGGATTGATTTGGGGGGTAATTGCCTCAAAATTTTAGGATAAGGGGTCAAAAAAGGGGCAAAAAACAAGCATTTTTCTAGTTTCAGGACAATAACTTGTGTGTAAGTGTATGGATCTTTATGAAATTGTACTACAAGGTTGCATATCACAAAGGAAAAGTTGGGTTTGAGTTTGGAGGTAATTGCCCTAAACGTTTAGTTATTTGGGGCCACAAAGGGCCTAAAAACAAGCATTTTTCTAGTTTCCAGACCATTGTGTTCAAGTGTATGGATCTCTCTGAAATTGTACTGCAAGGTACCATACCACAAAGGGAAGGCTGGGATTGAGTTTTGGGGTGATGAATTATAAGGGGGTTCAAAAAATTTGGAGGAGGGATTTTTTTTTCCGTTTTTTCTTTTTTTTTTCTTTAAAATTTTCAATTTTAAATTGGTTATTTCTGATTTATATATAAAAGCAAATAATAATGATATGGTTTGAATAGGTAAATTAGAATTTTTTTTAGTTCTTAGACCACATTCATTCTGTGTCAGAAACCTATGCTGTGTCAAATATTTAATCACAATCCAAATTCAGTGCTGTATCAAGCTTGAATGTTGTGTCCATACTTGCCCCAACTGTTCAGGGTTCGACCTCTGCAGTCGTATCAAGCTGCGCCCAGCGGAGCATTTTATTACTCCTATATTAATAAAAATCAAAATGTTCAAATCTTGAGTGAATAAGCTTCATTATTCTTTATATTTATTACTAAAAAGTGTTGTTAAAGTATTCTAAATTGACGAGTGAAGTGAAACTTTTTTTCTGAAAATTAAAGTAGGTCCATGGAAAATCCCTAATTATTTCTTAAATAGGGATGGTAACATATGGAGGTGTATAAAATATGCAGTAAAACCATTTTTTAGGTAAGATTATAGTTGTAATTGACCCCAAATTTAACGGACACGCAATTGTGTCAGCTTATTTGTTGATATCAAAGGGAGATAACTGCGTACACACGTCTTAGGAAATTGCAAGTTCACAACAGTAAATTCGAGTAAAAGTAATGATTGTAGTTACCGTAGAAAGGCTTGTATAGTCCGCCGTTTTATTCTCCAAAACTGGACCTTTCAGACGGGGTGCGGACTATAGAGTACAATAAGCAAGAAATAAGAGAAAAATTTCAATTTCGCGGGCGAGGTGGTTTGTTTACGTTCCGCCATCTTTGTTATTTATATTGTAGAGGGCGCTCTTATCATTTTTCAAACTAATAATTTTAACTCATCCATATTAATAAGTTATTTCTATTCAATTTCAAATTAATACTGATAAATATAAAAACTAAACCTTCCATTACAAATTTCTCGTTTCTTTTCAATGCATTGGTTGAAATAAACTGGTATCTGTTTGATTGAAACGATACAAACATAGTGAAATAGTCAACCGTAAACCAGCTTAGAATTTGTAAACTACAAAACGTAATCGGTTATTGTTCGTTCCGTTTTGGTGTTTCATACTGACTAATATGGTTTGTATTAGCTTAAGACCATTCAAACATTAATGTGATAGATATATTAAAGACTGTTTTACAAAAGGATGGAACTGTTTTACTTTCAAAGTCGTATTATAGTGATATCTGTTATGTACGGATTTCGACTCTCACCGGTTAGTTTCTTCTTTTACACGTGCTTTTTAAACTTCCTGTTTAAACATACACAAGTTTCTAAATTGTTTTTTAAGTGAATTAAACTTATTTTAACAATCATGAAGCGTTCTAGAATCATTTACAAGCAGTTTCAGCTTCTGTTTGATGATGGAAAACAGGTTTACCAAGAAAATACCGCAAACGACCGCACAGGATTTGAAATTACCGGAGTTTCATTAGACCTTTTCTAACAGTTACAAAAAGTTTTTTTACCTAAACTTTCGTGGAGAGAAGGGGGTGCAGACTATGTACCAGTGCGAACTATACAAGCCTTTCTACGGTATATTTCGACACTTTCTGAAATAACTATTTCCATACTTCATGTTCCTTCACTATTGTAACATAAAAATAGTCATGGAATGGTTGAATATGGCATTATTTCAATTAATTACAGGTTGTTGAAAACTTCCATAGAAGAAAATTATAGATAATTTACTTGATCTTCATTCCTCTGAAACTTGGAACTTATAAATTTCTAAATTTCTATTCTCAAACACCCTTTTGATAGATGGAATGATACAAGTCTTTGTTTCACTTTCTTTGTATCAATATTCTTAGAAAGCATATGAAAATAAACTCAGTGTTTGTACATGTAGCTTGTTTGAACAGTTTTTAACCGGATTTTCAAAGTTAAAATCGGTTATTGATTAGGGGATGTACGGCGGGCGGGTAGACGGGTGGCTGGCTGCCAAACAGTGTCCGTTCATTTACATGAAAACGCTTTGAAGAAATGTTTTCAAATTAAGATATGTTGTTTCCTGTGACTAAATGAAGGTCAAGGTCAATTTTCACGATTTTAGCTTTTCTCGTTGTTCAGTTATAGCCCTTTCTCAAGAATTCAATTTTTGATGAATTAATCCATTTCTGTACAGAGGGAAATAACTCATTTTTTAATGATTTTTAAAAAACATTGTATTAATGATAAATGACTTTTTGGAATTTTTTTTTCTTTGGTAAATTGTTTGAACAATTTTGTGGTAGGTTTGTTTGTTATTCTGTATAAACTAATTTTCTGAATGCTATATATATAGTTTTTTTTTTTGAAGTGAACTCCCTTAATTAGACAATAATCTATTTGTATTAAAGGATATATTTCATTACATTTAAAGTTGATCACATTGATAGATAAGTTGCAGAAAAATTATTAGTTTATGACAAATGAAAGAAAAAATATTTGGAACTATTAATTATATTTGATTATAATTTGAAAATAGATATACATTGTGTTACATCATATCTAATTTTAAAGAACTATTTTTAGTGATTAAATCATATCTAATGTTAGAGTACTATGTTAAACCATATTTCTGTTCAAAGGGAAACAACTCAAACTTATTCCATGAACCAGTAAATATAATGATAACATCAAAATTTCTTTATATCTATTTTTTTAAGTCATGTGTGTTATGAAGGTAGATTTCACAGTTGTTATGTGGTATTTTATTTTTGTTGTGTGTGTTAATGTTTAATTTTTACATGATCCTGTTTGGGGTTCAGATTTGCAAATATCAATTTCATTATTAATTAGATAATATAATAGTCTATTTTAGATATTCAATCACAATCCAAATTCAGAGCTGTTTTAAGCTTAAATGTTGTGTCCATACTTGCTCAACTGTTCAGGGTTCAACCTCTGCAGGAAAATCTGGTTTGCTGTCACTTGACAGCCTCTTGTTTTTTTTAAATATTAATTTCACTGTAAAATTTACACCAATTAAATTAATTTATATTTAAAAAAAAATTCTAAAATAGAAAGCTTTTACTCTGGTGCACTGAAAACATTGCATCAATAATGAGATTAAACAAAGTTATTTAGACTGAAGAACTTATAGATTCTTTGTCACTTTGTATTGCTTTTCATATGGAAAAAAAGAGTGATATTATACATTCTAACAAAGCATCAATTGTGAAACAATAGTTCTCTCCTCTGAACATTTTAATTTTCAAGATGCGAGGCTTGCCGATCAATACACATATTTAAGATTTCACCAAATGGTATGAAACTTATACACAGTGCTTATTACCACAAAATACAGATCAAGTTTGAATTTTAGGGGTGTCACTTTTAGGTTTGCACTCCATCCGTCTGTCTGTCTGTCCATCTGTCTGTCCATCTGTCAGTCCAGCAAATCAGTTTTCCAGACTTTTTTTTATGCCCTTGCCGTAGCTGTGGGGGCATTAAGTTTTACCCTTGTCCGTACGTCCCAAAATTGGTTTCCGTTCTCTAACTTGAGTTTGCCTCAACCAAATGTCATGAAACTTATACACAATGTTTATTACCACAACACAGATCAAGTTTGAATTTTGGTGGCGTCACTTTAACCGTTCTTGAGTTATGCCCCTTTATAAATGGAAAAATTGCAAAATTTTTAGTTTCCGTTCTCTAACTTAAGTTTGCCTAAAACAAATTTTATGAAACTTATACACAATGCTTATTACCACAAAACACAGATAAATTTGAATTTTGGTGGCGTAACTTAAACCGTTCTAGAGTTATGCCCCTTTATAAATGGAAAAATTGCAAAATTTTTAGTTTCCATTCTCTAACTTAAGTTTGGCTCAACCAAATGTTATGAAACTTATACACAATGCTTATTACCACAAAACACAGATCAAGTTTGAATTTTGGTGGCGTCACATTAACCGTTCTAGAGTTATGCCCCTTTATAAATGGAAAAATTGCAAAATTTTTAGTTTCCGTTCTCTAACTTAAGTTTGCCTCAACCAAATGTTATGAAACTTATACACAATGCTTATTACCACAAAACACAGATCAAGTTTGAATTTTGGTGGCGTCACTTTAACCGTTCTAGAGTTATGCCCCTTTATAAATGGAAAAATTGCAAAATTTTTATTTTTTACTCAATATCAAGTAATTTTTATACGACCGCAAAAAAATTTTGAGGTCGTATATTGGTATGACGTTGGCGTCGTCGTCGTCGTCGTCGTCGTCGTCGTCCGAATACACAATGGTTTTCGCACTCTAACTTTAGTTTAAGTGAATGGATCTCTATGAAATTTTACCATAAGGTTCAATACCACAATAGGAAGGTGGGGATTGATTTTGGGGGTTATGGTACCAACAGTTAAGGAATTAGGGGCCAAAAAGGGGCCGAAAATAAGCATTTTTGTAACTTCCAGACATAACTTGTGTGTTAGCATATGGATCTCTTTGACATTGTACCACAAGATTCCATATCACAAAGGGTCAATGCTGGGATTGATTTTGGGGTTAATTGCCTCAAAATTTTAGGAATAAGGGGCCAAAAGGGGGCAAAAAACAAGCATTTTTCTAGTTTCATGACAATAACTTGTGTGTAAGTGTATGGATCTTTCTGAAATTTTACTACAAGGTTCCATTTCACAAAGGGAAAGCTGGAATTGAGTGTTGTGGTAATTGCCCAAAACGTTTAGTAAAAAGGGGCCTAAAAAGGGGTTTAAAATAAGCATTTTTTAGTTTCTAGACAATAACTTGTGTTCAAGTGTATGGATCTCTCTAAAATTGTATTACAAGGTACCATACCACAAAGGCAAGGCTGTTATTGAGCTTGGTTTGGGGGGGAAAGGGGGGTGGGGGTGATGAATCATAAGGGGGCGGGGGTCAAAAAAGGGGTAATTTTTTTTTTTCCTTTTTTTTTTGTTTAAAATTTACATTTTAAGTTAGTTATTTTTTATCACGAAGAGAAAGTAGGAATTGAGTTTTGGGGTTAATTGCTCAAACATTTATGAATAAGGGGCCAAATATTGGTCAAAAATAAGGATTTTTTTAGTTTGCAACAAAAACTTGTGTTCAAGTGTATGGATCTCTGTGAAATTGTATTGCAATGTACCATACCACAAATTGAAGGTTGTGATTGAGGTGGGGGATGATGAATCAAAAGGGGGTTGAAAAAATGTGTGGGAGGTAGGATTTTTTTTTTTCCTTTTTTTTTCTTTAAAATTTTCCATTTAAAGATGGTTGTTTCAGATTTATATATGAAAGAAAATAATAATGATACGGTTATATATCATGAGGAATTGAAATTTAAAATTATGTATATTGGAAATTTAGGTTACATTGGAAAGTAATAATTGGCTTTTGGGGGGGGGGGGGGGGGGGGTTATGGCTCTAATGTTTAAGGAATAAGGGGAAAAAAGGTTAAAAAACAAGGGTTTCCATTTTAATAGACAAATAATTGAGTAAAGAACATTATTTAAAAGCAGTGTAAGGTTGGTAATTCAAACTCATTTAAATATCTCATCTACACTGCTTTTAAATTATGTAAATTGGAAATTTGCCAATAACTTTATTGTTAATAAATGCATTGGAAATTTGCCAACAATTTTAGTGTAATAAACTTCATTGGAAATTTGCCAATATAACATTTTGCTGATGAAGGTTTTTTGTTTACCTTTAGCCTTGACTATGAAGTCATTTTCTATTTTTATAGCCTTATGATGTAGTTGAATTATTTAATACTTTTATGATGTGTTTAAATAGGGTTTTATCATGTTTATGGTTGCAAATTTATTGTTTTAGTATAATAAACTCCATTTAAAATTTGCCAATAAAAAAATTTTTGTTTATTTTTAGCTATGATTATGATGTCATTTTTATACGACCGCAAAAAAATTTTTGTGGTCGTATATTGGTATGACGTTGGCGTCGTCGTCGTCCGGCGTCGTCGTCGTTCGGCGTCGTCCGGCGTCGTCCGAAGACACATTGGTTTTCGCACTCTAACTTTAGTTTAAGTGAATGGATCTTTATGAAATTTTACCACAAGGTTCAATACCACAAAAGGAAGGTTGGGATTGATTTTGGGGGTTATGGTAATAACAGTAAAGGAATTAGGGGCCAAAAATAAGCATTTTTGTAACTTCCAGACATAACTTGTGTGTTAGTGTATGGATCTCTCTGACATTGTACCACAAGGTTCCATATCACTAAAGGAATGCTGGGATTGATGTTGGGGGTAATTGCCTCCAAATTTTAGGAATTAGGGGCCAAAAAAGGGGCAAAAAACAAGCATTTTTCTAGTTTCATGACAATAACTTGTGTGTAAGTGTATGGATCTTTCTGAAATTGTACTACAAGGTTCCATATCACAAAGGGAAAGCTGGGTTTGAGTTTGGGGGTAATTACCCTAAACGTTTAGGAATTTGGGGCCAAAAAGGGGCCAAAAATTAAGCATTTTTCTAGTTTCCAGACAATAACTTGTGTTCAAGTGTATGGATCTCTCTGAAATTGTACTGCAAGGTACCATACCACAAAGGGAAGGCTGGGATTGAGTTTGGGGGTGATGAATCATAATGGGGATTCAAAAAATTTTGGGGGGGGATTTATTTTTTTTTCCTTTTTTTTCTTTTTTTCCTTTTTTGTTTCTTTTAAAATTTTCCATTTTAAGTTGGTTATTTCTGATTTATATTTAAAATCAAATAATAATGATATGGTAGGAGATACACACCAAACAGGATGTGTAAATTATTATATAATAAGTATTGTGCAATAGCAAGAAATTTTCAATTGCACAGTATTGCACAATAGCAAGAAATCTTCAATTGCACAGTATTGCGCAATAGCAAGAAATCTGCAATTGCACAGTATTGCGCAATAGCAAGAAATATCCAATAGCACAATATTGCGCAATAGCAAGAAATTGTCAATTGTACAGTATTGCGCAATAGCAAGAAATATTTAATAGCACAGGATTGTGCAAAAGAAGATACTTCCTATAAATTGCTTATTTCTTGACCAATTTCAATGGGGTTTTATTCTTGATTTCATGGGGTTCTTTAATATGCTGAATCTAACCGTGTATTTAGTTTTTGGATTTTGGGCCCCGTTTTTAAATTGGTCCACATTGAGGTCCAAAGGGTCCAAAATTAAACTTTGTTTAATTTCATCAAAAATTGAATTATTGGGGTTCTTTGATATGCCGAATCTAACTGTGTATTTAGATTCTTAAATTTTGGTTCCGTTTTCAAATTGGTCTACATTAAGGTCCAAAGGGTCCAAAATTAAACTTAGTTTGATTTTAACAAAAATTGAATTCTTAGGGTTCTTTGATATGCTGAATCTAAACATGTATTTAGATTTTTGATTATGGGCCCAGTTTTCAAGTTGGTCCAAATCGGGGTCCAAAATTAAACTTTGTTTGATTTCAACAAAAATTGAATATATGGGGTTCTTTGATATGCTGAATCTAACCATGTATTTAGATTTTTGATTTTTGGGCCCGTTATCAACTTTGTCCACATTGAGGTCAAAAGGGTCCAAAATTAAACTTTGTTTGATTTCATCAAAAATTGAATTATTGGGGTTCTTTGATATGCCGAATCTAACCGTGTATTTAGATTCTTAATTTTTGGTTCTGTATTCAAATTGGTCTACATTAAGGTCCAAAGGGTCCAAAATTAAACTTAGTTTGATTTTAACAAAAATTGAATTCTTAGGGTTCTTTGATATGCTGAATCTAAACATGTATTTAGATTTTTATACGACCGCAAAAATTTTTGCGGTCGTATATTGGTATGACGTTGGCGTCGTCGTTGTTGTCGTCATCGTCCGAAAACACATTGGTTTTCGCACTCTAACTTTAGTTTAAGTGAATGGATCTCTATGAAATTTTACCATAAGGTTCAATACCACAAAAGGAAGGTTGGGATTGATTTTGGGGGTTATGGTACCAACAGTTAAGGAATAAGGGGCCAAAAAGGGGCCAAAAATAAGCATTTTTGTAACTTCCAGACATAACTTGTGTGTTAGTGTATGGATCTCTCTGACATTGTACCAAAAGGTTCCATATCACAAAGGGAATGCTGGGATTGATTTTGGGGGTAATTGCCTCAAAATATTAGGAATTAGGGGCCAAAAAAGGGGCAAAAAACAAGCATTTTTCTAGTTTCATGACAATAACTTGTGTGTAAGTGTATGGATCTTTCTTAAATTGTACTACAAGGTTCCATATCACAAAGGGAAAGCTGGAATTGAGTTTGGGGGTAATTGCCCAAAATGTTGAGGAATAAGGGGCCAAAAAGGGGCAAAAAATAAGCATTTTTTCTAGTTTCCAGACAATAACTTGTGTTCAAGTGTATGGATCTCTCTGAAATTGTACCACAAGGTTCCATATCACACAGGGAATGCTGGGATTGATTTTGGGGGTAATTGCCTCGAAATTTTAGGAATTAGGGGCCAAAAAAGGGGCAAAAAACAAGCATTTTTCTAGTTTCATGACAATAACTTGTGTGTTAGTGTTTGGATATTTCCGAAATTGTACTACAAGGTTCCATATCACAAAGGGAAAACTGGAATTGAGTTTGGGGGTAATTGATCTAAATGTTCAGGAATTGGGGGCCAAAAAGGGGCCAAAAAGGGGCCAAAAAACACATTTTTCTAGTTTCCAGACAATAACTTGTGTTCAAGTGTATGGATCTCTCTGAAATTGTACTGCAAGGTACCATACCACAAAGGGAAGGCTGGGATTGAGTTTGGGGGTGATGAATCATAAGGGGGTTCAAAAAATTGGGGGGGGGGATTTTTTTTTTTTTCCTTTTTTTTCTTTTGTTCCTTTTTTTTTCTTTTAAAATTTTCCATTTTAAGTTGGTTATTTCTGATTTATATTTAAAAGCAAATAATAATGATATGGTAGGAGATACACACCAAACAGGATGTGTAAATTATTATATAATAAGTATTGTGCAATAGCAAGAAATTTTCAATTGCACAGTATTGCACAATAGCAAGAAATCTTCAATTGCACAGTATTGCGCAATAGCAAGAAATCTTCAATTGCACAGTATTGCGCAATAGCAAGAATCCAATAGCACAATATTGCGCAATAGCAAGAATCCAATAGCACAATATTGCGCAATAGCAAGAAATTGTCAATTGTGCAGTATTGCGCAATAGCAAGAAATATTCAATTGCACAGTATTGTGCAAAAGAAGATACTTCGTATAAATTGCTTATTTCTTGACCAATTTCAATGGGGTTTTATTCTTGAATTCTTGGGGTTCTTTAATATGCTGAATCTAACCGTGTATTAAGTTTTTTGGATTTTGGGCCCCGTTTTTAAATTGGTCCACATTTAGGTCCAAAGGGTCTCAAATTAAACTTTGTTTGATTTCATCAAAAATTGAATTATTAGGGTTCTTTGATATGCCCAATCTAACCTTGTATTTAGATTCTTAATTTTTGGTTCCGTTTTCAAATTGGTCTACATTAAGGTCCAAAGGGTCCAAAATTAAACTAAGTTTGATTTTTACAAAAATTGAATTCTTAGGGTTCTTTGATATGCTGAATCTAAACATGTAGTTAGATTTTTGATTTTGGGCCCAGTTTTCAAGTTGGTCCAAATCGGGGTCCAAAATTAAACTTTGTTTGATTTCAACAAAAATTGAATATATGGGGTTCTTTGATATGCTGAATCTAACCATGTATTTAGATTTTTGATTTTTGGGCCCGTTATCAACTTTGTCCACATTGAGGTCAAAAGGGTCCAAAATTAAACTTTGTTTGATGTCATCAAAAATTGAATTCTTGGGGTTCTTTGATATGCTGAATCTAACCATGTATTTAGATTTTGGATATTGGACCATAATAGGTGAATGTCCAATTTAAAATTTTTAAGTTCTTAGACCACATTAATTCTGTGTCATAAACCTATGCTGTGTCATATATTTAATCACAATCCAAATTCAGAGCTGTATCAAGCTTGAATGTTGTGTCCATACTTCCCCCAACTGTTCAGGGTTCGACCTCTGCGGTCGTATCAAGCTGCGTCCTGCGGAGCATTTTATTGATTATGGGCCCAGTTTTCAAGTTGGTCCAAATTGGGGTCCAAAATTAAACTTTGTTTGATTTCAACAAAAATTGAATATATGGGGTTCTTTGATATGCTGAATCTAACCATGTATTTAGATTTTTGATTTTTGGGCCCCATTATCAACTTTGTCCACATTGAGGTCAAAAGGGTCCAAAATTAAACTTTGTTTGATTTCATCAAAAATTGAATTATTGGGGTTCTTTGATATGCTGAATCTAACCATGTATTTAGATTTTGGATATTGGACCATAATAGGTGAATGTCCAATTTAAAATTTTTAAGTTCTTAGACCACATTCAATCTGTGTTAGAAACCTATGCTGTGTCAAATATTTAATCACAATCCAAATCCAAAGCTGTATCAAGCTTGAATGTTGTGTCCATACTTCCCCCAACTGTTCAGGGTTCGACCTCTGCGGTCGTATCAAGCTGCGCCCTGCGGAGCATTTTATCTATTTTACTTTTATGGTTGCAAAGAAATTTTTATTTTTAGATATTACTGTTAAATGATGCTGATTAAGGTTTTTGCTATGTTTAGCCATGACTTTGATGTCATTTTCTATTTTAATATCTGTTATGATGTATTTAAATGGGCTTTTATGGTTACAAAGGAATTTTATTTTTAGATATTACTATAAAATGTTGCTGATGCTGATTAAGGATTTTGTTTATTTTTAGCCATGACTATGATGTCATTTTCTATTTTAATACCTTTATGATGTAATTTCCATTTTTAGATATTACTGTTAAATGATGCTGATTAAGGGTTTTTTGCTATGTTTAGCCATGACTATGATGTCATTTTCTATTTTAATATCTTTATGATGTATTTAAATGGGCTTTTATGGTTACAAAGGAATTTTATTTTTAGATATTACTTTAAATGTTGCTGATTAAGGATTTTTGTTTATTTTTAGCCATGACTATGATGTCACTTTCTATTTTAATACCTTTATGATGTATTTAAATGGGCTCCCATGTATTTAGATTTTTGATTATTTATACATGTTACCAAATTGGTCCACATTGAACAAAAACGGTCCAAATTTCAACTTTATTACATTACATCAAACATTGAATTCTACATATTCTTTGATATATTGAAATTAACAAACAATTTAGTTTATGGATATTCCACCATAATAGGTAAATTAAATTTTTTCCAGTTCTTACACCACATTCATCCTGTGTCAGAAACCTATGCTGTGTCAAATATTTAATGACAATCCAAAGTCATAGCTGTATCAAGCTTGAATTTTGTGTCCATACTTGCCCCAACTGTTCAGGGTTCGACCTCTGCGGTCGTATCAAGCTGCGCCCCAGCGAAGCATTTTATTATCTATTGGTATGACGTTGGTGTCGTCGTCGTCGTCGTCTGGCGTCGTCCGGCGTCGTCCGAAGACACATTGGTTTTCGCACTCTAACTTTAGTTTAAGTGAATGGATCTCTATGAAATTTTACCACAAGGTTCAATACCACAAAAGGAAGGTTGGGATTGATTTTGGGGGTTATGGTACCAACAGTAAAGGAATTAGGGGCCAAAAATAAGCATTTTTGTAATTTCCAGACATAACTTGTGTGTTAGTGTATGGATCTCTCTGACATTGTACCACAAGGTTCCATATCACAAAAGGAATACTGGGATTGATTTTGGGGGTAATTGCCTCAAAATTTTAGAAATTAGGGGCCAAAAAAGGGGCAAAAAACAAGCATTTTTCTAGTTACATGACAATAACTTGTGTGTAAGTGTATGGATCTTTCTGAAATTGTACTACAAGATTCCATATCACAAAGGGAAAGCTGGAATTGAGTTTGGGGGTAATTGCCGAAACATTTAGGAATTTGGGGCCAAAAAGGGGCCAAAAATAAACATTTTTCTAGTTTCCAGACAATAACTTGTGTTCAAGTGTATTGATCTCTCTGAAATTGTACTGCAAGGTACCATACCACAAAGGGAAGGATTGGATTGATGATGGGGGTAATTGCCTCAATATTTTTGGAATTAGGGGCCAAAAAGGGGCAAAAAACACATTTTTCTAGTTTCCAGACAATAACTTGTGTTGACAAGTGTATGGATCTCTCTGAAATTGTACTGCAAGGTACCATACCACAAAGGGAAGGCTGGGATTGAGTTTGGGGGTGATGAATCATAAGGGGTTCAAAAAATTTGGGGGGGGGGATTTTTTTTTTTTCTTTTTTTTTTTCTTTTAAAATTTTCCATTTTAAGTTGGTTATTTCTGATTTATATTTAAGAGCAAATAATAATGATATGGTAGGAGATACACACCAAACAGTATGTGTAAATTATTATATAATAAGTATTGTGCAATAGCAAGAAATTTTCAATTGCACAGTATTGCACAATAGCAAGAAATCTTCAATTGCACAGTATTGCGCAATAGCAAGAAATCTTCAATTGCACAGTATTGCGCAATAGCAAGAAATATCCAATAGCACAATATTGCGCAATAGCAAGAAATTGTCAATTGTACAGTATTGTGCAATAGCAAGAAATATTCAATTGCACAGTATTGTGCAAAAGAAGATACTACGTATAAATTGCTTATTTCTTGATCAATTTCAATGGGGTTTTATCCTTGAATTCTTGGGGTTCTTTAATATGCTGAATCTAACCGTGTATTAAGTTTTTGGATTTTGGGCCCCGTTTTTAAATTGGTCCACATTGATGTCCAAAGGGTCCAAAATTTAACTTTGTTTGATTTCATCAAAAATTTAATTATTGGGGTTCTTTGATATGCCGAATCTAACCGTGTATTTAGATTCTTAATTTTTGGTTCCGTTTTCAAATTGGTCTACATTAAGGTCCAAAGGGTCCAAAATTAAACTTAGTTTGATTTTAACAAAAATTGAATTCTTAGGGTTCTTTGATATGCTGAATCTAAACATGTATTTAGATTTTTGATTATGGGCCCAGTTTTCAAGTTGGTCCAAATCGGGGTCCAAAATTAAACTTTGTTTGATTTCAACAAAAATTGAATATACGGGGTTCTTTGATATGCTGAATCTAACCATGTATTTAGATTTTTGATTTTTGGGCCCCGTTATCAACTTTGTCCACATTGAGGTCAAAAGGGTCCAAAATTAAACTTTGTTTGATTTCATCAAAAATTGAAT